TGCATGATGCATATGGAAGTCATATTGATAAATAGTTTCTGATGCTAGCATTCCATTTTTATACTGTAGACACACATATGATCTACTTTATAGTCATCTATATATACAAGTTTTTAGGAGCATTTTTTAGGGTTAAATTCAATTACTTTTCACTTTAAATCAAGAAGATTTATATATACAATTCAACATTTTATTTATTTAAAAACTTTAACTTATAATTTTATTTCTATCTTATAATAACATGATCATTTTCTCTTAGTTACTAGTATGAATAGAAGCAACATTTGTTAGAAAAGAAAATTTGGAAAAAGCTTATACAAATATTATGAGATTTTTTCCTAAACCGTGAATGTGGCTAGCTACCGTTGGATCTCTAAAGGCACATCTACGGGCAATATCATTAACAACCACCATGTATTGTGGAGGATTTGAGAGATGTGTATCTTGAATCACTTAATATAATAATGAGCGACCTCATATCACAATTAATTGGTTAGTGAGAGTTGGTGGAGAATTCTCGACATCACTTAATATAATATGCAAACAATTTTCACTCCAAATTAAAGAAGCCAATACTCAAAATATTTAAATGAAGGCCCCTCTAATAAAATTTGAATTACGCGTTTAATGCACCCAAGCTATACTATAATCATATATATTATATAATGTTTCATGGATAATATTACTAGTTCCTATATGTGTTATTTAAATAAATAAATTTATTATATGAACTATTTATTTATAATTATTATTATAAATTATAAAGAGGTTGTCATAAGTGTTTAGAATTGGTTTATTATATATATTTATGTTTTAGTTATTTACTAGCATCAAATTTTCAGAAAGCGTCAACTGTGGTCGGAGCCAACATCCATGAGAGTGCAATACAAATAAAGCTCATTCAACATCAAGTTCATGTAGACCAGCAGTGAGTTGATGAGAAATCTAAGAAAGCTCATGTAGTAAAAATTTTTTGGAATTTATAATTTAAAAAATTTTTTATAAAACTATTTGTAACTTGCAGGATGATTTCTCTTTTACTATTATTAGAGAAATAAGCAGCATTCCACATTGGCGAAGGATCATTCTTCTTATGGAAATCGCCCATACTTTGAGTATCACACCCAATGGTCAGAAGTTTGTTAGTGGTAAGACAGAGGGGAATGAGAGTATATGCATGTGAGAGTGCACAATGCTATTTGTATTTGAAGAGGCTAGTTCATATACCTGTTAGTGACATCCATGATCTCAAGTGGAGCTGAAGATCCTGTAAGTGAGAGGGTTGCAGCACTTACTAGAAGATTGAAGACGATGAATAAGGTGTATCAGAATGAAATGCAAGCTAGATTGCAAATATATCCTACAGACTGTGAAAAACAAATGAGAGTAGGTACCAACGGGCACCAATCTTGCAGATCTAAAGGATACATAATTGATTAGATGTTTTAGTATGTTGATGAATGTATATAATTAGAACTTGTGAACTTCTTGAACTAGTGATTGGTAGCCGATCTAATCATGAACTTTTGTGAAATTTGTTAATTGTAATGTTTGTGATGAAATTGTAGTTTTCTCTTTGATGAATATATAGGGGTTTTCCCCAACAATTTATATATATGCTTTTTTCTGCAGGTTTAGACTTAAGTGAAACCTCCCTCAAATAAGGGATACTGTCTATTTTTTATTGTCAGGTGCTACAGGTATTCCGTCAGGCTACCGGCGGTTTGCGACGGGAAACTACGATACGGACGGACAGGATACAGCCTCAGCGTTTATATTATATAAAACGCAGTGTGAGACGTACCGGCGGTGTCTACCGCGGCCACCCGGCGGATTATACGATGGACGCACGACGGTTTAAACCGTGGTAATACCGACGGCTATAACCGCCCGTCAACCGCCGGTAGGTACCGGCGGTCTAACGCCGCCGTCCGGCGTCTAATGAACCAGGACCGCCAGGTTTAACCGCCGGAAACCCGCCGGTACTTTGACGGCTTGCCGGCGGTTCATTACCGGCGGCCGAACTGCCGAAAGCGACGGTTAAAATTCCGGTGGTCACGGCCGGTCAGGGGCCGCCGAAAAACCGCCGCCAAAATAAACCGCCGTATAAAAAGCCGTCGGAATTGGTTTCCTACAATATACCGCGGTTAACCGCGTTAGATACGGTAATGTAAAAAACCGCTGGTAATTTTACCTAACCGCCGGAAAAAACGCGCGGTTTCAGCGTTTTCTGTAGTGAAATATAGAGGAAGAGGGAGTCATATCTAAGAACATCCCAAAACTTCTTCCACAAAAAAATATTTTTCTAGTATTTTCTTTGTTTATCATCTTATGTCATTTCTGATTCAAGATCATTTATTGTCATTTTCAAACTCTAATAGGTTTCATTGGTAAGTTTCTTAAGTAAAATTTATAAATCTCAACAAAAATAATTTTTTCACTAAAAAAGGCTCTTTAAGAAGCAATAAAGATAAGTCCGTCTCAAACCAAAATCTAAATCTTGAGTGAAAAAATACTACTCTGCTGTTGACACTTAATTTCCATCTCTAAAATATTAAGAAGCTGATAGAATTTTTAATGGCTTATAATGGGTTATTTTAAGTGTAATTTTATTCCTATTATTTGTCTATCACAACTCGTTCTGAGACCGCTTTAATTTTTGCCTTTTCAAATGTAAAACGCTAGAAATTCAATTTTGGCTGTGTTGACATTTAATGTGCCACTTTTGAATAAAATTTTTTAAAGAAACACATGTATTTTTGTACTGTTTCAAAAGCTTTATATATTAACTATCTATGTTAGACACTCTGTTATCTCAAAACATACAATTTAAAACTCATTTTTTAGAAAAGGGTACAAAAATAATCAAACGAAAGCCTTAGGTAGAGGAGTGCTTTGTGTTACGATTAATAGATAGGTTATAAATGAACATTATTAGATTAAATACCACCTCTTTTGAAAGTGTTTATAGGATATCAATAAAATGAAATAGAGAAGCCTCTTTGATTGAGTTTTCTTCTCTTTCCCCTCCTCAATTTTGCATTTTCTTATCTTTTTGGACAAGCTCACAAAAATCATAGTTTTCATTATTGATCCTCTCCAGATAGTATTATTGAAGCTTTATACAAATAGATTCATTTAAAAACCTAGAACTTTGGAATCAGTTTATTAGTATTTAAAATGTACATAATTATAAGGTTCTACTATGTAATTTCCATTCCTATTAATAACATGCCCAAGTGATAGGTTAAAAGGTTCAAAAAAATATTTGAAGCATGGTACGAGACTCTTGTCTAAAATTTTTTTATGAATCGTTTTATTAATTTTAATAGTTTAAGATTTTAGTGATGGATAAGGACAGATACTATAGTGCTTTGAAACTTAGTTCACAAGGTATCAAAATAAAATATAATTCTTGTTCAAATAATTTTCGAAACAAAATTATAAACTCTCTATTAATAGTACACGTCATTTATTCGAACCTCTTATAAACTTAATTTTGCAATATGTGATGATCATAGTCCTAAGCTTCGAAGTATATTATCTTGATAATTTTAGTCTTCGAACAATGATACAAATACTTTAAATATGTAGATTTCATTAATTACTTGTCCATTTTCTCAATACAATAGGGTTCTCCTTTTTCACTTTCCATCCTATTCTATAAAAACCTTAAAACTTACTTTTAGATTAATTTATGGAATTGTAGTACTGTTATTTTTTGTAAGCCATTTGGAGGACTATTCCAGAGGACGCTGAATGTATTTCTATAACCAAAATTATAAAAAAATTAACATTAACATCTACAGCTTGAACACAAAGTTTGTGCGAAGGGGTGTGTAAATTAATGATCGAGGTCTGAAAGATATGTAGCGAAGCTACTTTAAATACTAGATGGAGAATCTATAATAAGACTGGAGATCTTAAGGTGGGAAGTTCTAAAACAACTTTTGAATGCTCGATAATAACTATGTAACTATATTTCTATCATATGATTGCTCAAAAAAAACTTTAATATTTTTTAGTGTTATAAATTTTATGAAAGATACTAAAAAACACGCTACAATATATGAGTATTATTGAGAAATCATTAAGAAGACGTAGTCTTTCAAGTAATTTAATGGAATCCCCCCCCCGCACACACACACACCAACAAAAACCCCGGAAGAACCTCAAAACCACTCACAGAAGGAGCAAAACCAACGGAAAACACCAAAAAAGACCAACGAAACGAAAGCCAGGAGAAGAAACAGAGTTACCAGATGAAGAAGAACAACCCGAGAACGAAACAACAGCAGCGAACTGAAGGAACAGACGAAGCAGACAAATCGCCCGGAAATCTCCAGGAAAATAATTCATATCTCTAACAACATATTTAAATAAAGTAATAATCACTAATCACCTAATTATCAAAAGCCATTAGCCATAAAACCATCCTCAAATACAAGAACCTTCAAAACCCAAAGCGGCCCTCTTCCCCTCTTTCCACCAACCCGACCGGCCTCGGCTGGAGCCACTGCCGACCGGCACAACGGACAACTGAACCGGCGAAGGTCCAGCCACCGGTCCATGCATGTCACGTGAAATGCATGGCTGCAGTTCCCCAGTTCCCGGACGCGGTCCCTGTCTTCTATTAACCGAAGGCAGATAGCGCACTCCGGCGCCGCCACCGATGCAGCCTTTTGCGTCTTTCGTTGCTTCTCGACGAAGCTTAGGTACTCGACGATGGGTAGTTGACTTGCTAGCGACTTCGGGGTGGCGGTTGACCGGGGATTGATGGAAGAGAAAAGGAGCTCTTCGTCGTCCCATGGCGTCGGCTCGATTTCGAAGGATGGGTTGAGGCCGATGCGGTGGAGGAAGAAGGAGAAGGCGTATAGGAAGAGATCGAGGAGATAGAGGAGGATTATGAGTGGTTTGGGGATCATTTTGCGTGTGGGAGATTGAAAGGAATTGAGATGAAGAATAAAGTTATTTGTGTTGAAGATGGATTTAATGGAGGTTGTGTGGCTATATAAGAAGGTGGAACTAGCTTGAAAGAAAAATGATTTACTCATCGAGTTGATGATGAGGCATTTATCATATGTCATAGGTAATATTTTATCATTTTTTATAATTTTTTAATGATAATTCGTGTACCCCACACAACATTGGCGTATGAATGGAGGTAAAGCTTATGAAGAAAAAGGAAGGAAACTTTATGCAGGCAAGATTAATGTTGGCCATCTTGAAATCTCATTACTTTCCCGTAACTGCTGTATCTAAATTGTTTATTTATTTGTTATTTGTAGTATTAAGAAGTAAAGAATTATTATTGGAAAAAAGATTGACATGAGTATTTTTGTTGAATAAATTTAAAAGGGCTGTTATTTTTGTTTAGTAGTAAGAAGTAAGATATTTTTTTACATGTTTGATACTGAAACAAACACCAGGAGGCATATCTAGCTAGACCAAAGGCTTGTAGAGAGGTAAGGTCACGGCAAGAACAGAGAAACAGAGATGAGAAGGAATTTCATTTCACGGGGAGAGAACGTGAAACGGGAAAAAGAGAACTTGTAGATTAATTTCTTAATGCCAGAGTTACAACCTATAGTTTATATAGACTAAAGGAGTAAAGAAAGTACATGTAATAAGATGATGCCACGTGTGAATGGCCACGTGGACGTCTTATCTAACAGCCCCCTTCAAATTGATGACGGTGGAACTGTGATAAGTATGTTTGTTAATTCTTTGAATCGCACTGTTGTAATAAGTGGTTTGGTGAAGACATCCGCGAGATGGTCAGTGGTGCATATATGATGAACGGCGAGGTGATTGTTGCGAATGCAGTCTCGGATGAAGTGACAGTCGACCTCGATATGCTTTGTGCGGGTGTGGAAGACGGGGTTGTTGGATAGGGCAATTGCGGACGTGTTGTTGCAGTATACTATGGTCGGCGTGTTCTGAGGTATGTTGAAGTCTTCAAGAAGATGCCATAGCCATAGTATTTCAGCGGCTTCGACGGTTAGAGCTCGGTACTCAGCTTCGGTGGAGGATCGAGCGACGGTATTTTGTTTCTTTACTTGCCATGATATGAGCGATGTGCCCAAGAAGTTGCAGTAACCGGATATGGACTTCCGGTCTTGATTATTGTTAGCCCAATCTGCATTAACATAACCATGTAACAAGAGTTTATCTTTTAATGCCAGAGTTATAACCTATAGTTTATATAGACTAAAGGAGTAAAGAAAGTACAGGTAATAAGATGATGCCATGTGTGAATGGCCACGTGGACGTCTTATCTAATAAGGCTTGTCGGATGTAAACAACTATCACCTAGAGATCATAAGGACTGTAGTTGGATGACAACGGTCTGAAAACTCTAGTTAGTGAGCATTGGAGGTTTGAAGCATTGTAGTCGGTGTGCAATGATGGTCGAAAAAATTATAATCTTGTAATGGTGGTCCAACGACTATAGTCGAGCGATGGTGGTTTGAGGATTATAATCAGTGGGCGACAGAGATCTAAAGAATTATAGTCGGGCAACAGTGGTTCGAGGGCCGCGATGGATAAGTAACGACGGATGAATGACCATAGTCAGACGATAGTTGTCGAATGATTATAAATAGACAATGGTGGTTCAAGGATCGTAGTCGAACAACGATGGTCTCAGGATCTTAGTCGAGTAATAGTGGCCAAAGGTTCATAATCGACTGGTGATGGAGGTCAAAAGGGACATTCTCTGATGGTGATGGTCTAGTGACTATAGTTAGTGGGTGTCACAGCCTTGAAGGACTATAGTTGGCGTGAAATTAGAGTCGAAAGGATCATATTCAGATAATGGTGGTCTATGGATCATAGTCAGGTGATAGTGGTCTGAGGATTGTAGTCGGTGGGCAACAAAGTTACGTAGAAAGGACTATATTTAGGCGACAATTATTTGAATATTACGGTTAGCATATGACAAAAGTTAGAGGACTTTATTTGGAAATTGGTGGTTAAAAGATTTGTTGTTGGGCGAAAGTGGTATGAGGGCTATAGTCAGTGAGTAACAAAGGTTCGAGGGACCATATATAGTTAGTGGATAACAACGATCGAAAGGTGGTAGTCAGGTGATGGTGGTTTGAGGTTCGTAGTTAGTGGACATTATTGGAGTTTCAAAAGGCTATAGTCCGCAAGTGATGAAGGTTAGAAAGACTATAATCGAGTGGCAATGGTGGTCGAAAGGATTGTAATCAACAAGCGACAAATGTTAAAAGGGCCATAATCGGACGATGATGCCTCAAGGATAATGGTTAGCCATAGGGTGTGATGGTAGTCAGAGAACTAAAATCAGAGTTTATATGGCCATGCTTTTAATTTTAGAGGTTTCCAACTCATATATACCTTGAGATTCATGGAAGATCAAGGCGAGTTTTTGTGACATATCACTAGTAGTGAATGTCTATGTAGGAGCTTACTTTTAGGATTTATTATCCTCTTTCAATACGCCATATTTTTAGGAGTTATTGTCCTAAGCTTGATTTTTAGCATTTTTCTTCTTAATCTATTCTTCTATTAGCTTATGGAGCTTATGAAATTCATTAAACCACTTCTTTAGCATCTTATTGATACTGAGTTACTGACAATGAAGGAATCAATTCTAGTAGTTAAATTAGATTTCACCCATAAATAACTTGAAAGGTGCTACTCTTGGTGTCTAGCTTTGGGATCAATAGTAATTAAATTCTATTTGAGCCAAAATTTGATTCCATTGTAGCTTGTTCTTGCTGGCAAAAAATCATAAGAGATTCCCCAAGATGTGATTGACGAATTTGGTCTGTTCGTTCGTCTGTGCATGAGTCGTTGAACTTCATTGTAATTTTGTTCCAAAATTTTCCCATAAGACTTTCCAAAAGTGATTGAAGAATTTGACATTGCATTAATTTTGGCGTGATGGTTTTTGGAATTCCATGAAGTTGAACTACATCTTAGAAGTACTAATCAACTATGAAGGTAGTATCCATTATCTTTTTATAAGATAAAAAAATGTCCCATTTTGGATCATCCACCGAAGCATCTCATCTCTGCAACACTTAACTCATTCGGCACCATAAAGCATTGCAAGTCTCACCACCATCTTATAGAATTTTCACTTATGTTTGAGGGGGACTTTTCTATCACACAATAAGCCCGATGCATTCCTCCACTTCAACCATCAAACTTGAATTCTGCTGATAATATCCCCTTCAATTTCACCATCACTCTGAACAATAGATCCAAGATATCTAAAATGACTACTCTTACTATTGACTTTATTGTTAAAAGTCACAATCTCATCTTTAGGTCAATTGCTACTAAAATTATACTCCGTATATTTAGTTTTAGATCTACTCAAG